AAATTCACTTACTTTTTTTTCTTCTTCTTTATGTATTTATCTTGAGCAAATTCTGTTTTGTCTCTGAATGTTGTACTGTTCTCTATTAACTGTTGAACTATTTCCTTGGAAGAGACAATTCATTTTTGTTAGAGCTAGCATTTATTTCTCATTCATTTCATAGACAGTATTTTTTGAAACAAGCACTGAAAATATTTCCTTCCAGTAGAGGCATGTATAGCATGAACTTCTCCTGACACTTTTGCAAAGTCACTCTCTGTTAACCAACAGGACCAGTAAGGCATTACACTGACTATGTGCAGGAATTTAATCACACAGTTTTGCATAAAAATCATAGAAATGAAAATGTTTATCCTGGAATATTCAGTAATATTTCATTTAATCCAACTCCCTCTTTGGGTCTCTCTGATTCCAGCATCTCTGAGGGTACCTTTTTTCCCTGTTCCATGCAGTTCCTCCCCTCTGCTCTGGTTAATCACCAGACATCTCCCTCACTCCAATAATTTTTTCAGTCTCACAAATTTTGCCACCCTGCTGTACCAACTCCCTGACAGTGTCTAAGTCCTTAGCATTTATTACTTCCTGCAATATTCCTCCTGATTTTTTCCCTTTTCTAGCTCCCAGGTCTTCCCAGAATTCCAGTTTTGGTTTCTTGGTCTCCCTGTTTTAATCTCCCCCCTTTGCCAACCCAACTCTCCCTCATGCTTTCAGATTGCAGCTGGAGGGATCATTGGGACCTCCAGCAGAACCAAACCAATCCCACAGGACTCTCCTTGCCTGGGGTTTATCTCCATGCCAGCACACAAGAACAAAAATGCTGCTGTTTTGGGTTCTGTGATCCAAGCAGTTTAACTGCTAAAATTATGGCTTCTATTAAACATGGAGGGGACAAATGAAAAAAAGAAGTATTTTCAATTTGGACACTGCAGCTCCCCTTGTGCTTTAAAAACCTGCTCAAATAACAGAGTGGTGCAAGAATTCCTCACTTCCTGTTGTGCTTTTCAGGCCATTATTCCTTCAAACACTTAACGTGTGTGATTAATGATTTGAAACAGGATCTCTTTCTTTTTTGCTTTATTCTAGGAAAAAAAAAATTCAGTGTCTGGGTTGTTTTGTAGGGTTCTTTTTATGATGCAGTAAAATTTACAGTGAGGAAACAGGGAAGTGTCCTGCATCACCAAGACACACCATTCACAAACAGGAATTCAGATTTTAACAGACACACAGAGGAACGATATCTATTGCTGCTAAAGTAACTCAAAATGAATATTAGTTACAGTCCAGAAAGCAGAGTTAATAAAAGCACAGGAGGTGCATGGCACAGGAAACACAGGAAAGGTGCTGAGGACACACAGGGAAGTCAGAGGGATCTTCTGCCATGGACAGTGAAAACAAAAACCATCAAAGCTGTCAGCCTGATTGGCACATTCTTCTCCAAGAGATCACACAACCATGGAAACACAGGAACCATTCCAAACCCCTTGGACCCAGCAGGAAAAAGCAGAAAACTGCTCCAAAGAGCAAGATGCAACCAGGAGCTGAACTTGAGCTAAGCATGAGCAATTTCCTGCTTTTCTTAGAAAGGGAAAAGCAAAGAGCAGAGAGGATTGTGCCTGACAGCATGTGCAGAACACAACTGGCTGCAATGCCTTAGGAACAATTTTAAACGGCTTTATGAAAGGTGCAGGCTTAAATCCCAACCCCTTTTCTAACAGAACAGAACTGATCTCTTGGGAATACTCTGAGTTTTCCAGGTGCAGATAAGCAACCAGCATCAGCCCTGTGTGGCAGGCACACTGCTGGTACATTTGTTACCCAGTGTCATTTGATAAAACTTCACTGCTTGGCCATAATCTTTTCCTACACCTTTGACAGTTTAATTATTGCACAGTTTTAATATCCCTGTAATACAGAAACAGTACTTTGAACCTTATACACAAGCAAAACTAAATGGTGATTATGTGAGCTGTACTTTTTTATCTGTTATGAATTCTGATGCCATGAAAATTTATTCTTTACTCTCCTCTGACAAAGTTGCCAACCTTACATAAAGTTTTCTCTGAAAACAGCTTTAGCATTTTTGTAAAACAAACAAAAAAAAAAGACTTGACCAGATGAACCAAGAAAAAGCACGAAATCTATGCACAGATAAAAAGAATATCCTTTTTCAGAAACTACAATATAACCATCAAGGTAGCACAGAAATGACACCAAAAACCTTATTTTTTACCTGTCCTTTAATACCCTTGTCCTTCAAAGCCTTTATGTCATCATGAGTCAGTTTTTGAGACTTCCCATCGTCAACTATGTTACGATTATCTGTCCCTGCTTCCTTTGTTTCTGAAGGAAAAGGATATAGATTTGTAAAATCTACCTCCAAACAAGTGGGAGAAACACATGATTTTAGTGTCACAGAAAGCAGATTTCTCGTGGTTAAACACACATTTTTCATGGCCTAGCAAAGGACAGCCCAATCAAGGAAATGTAATATGTGAGGTAAAACTGAATGTAAATAAAGTCATCCAGACTGAGGCTCAAATCTTCTCCCACATTAAAAAGATTATTTGTTCCAGGACTAGTGAAACCACTGACAAGACAAAACCATGCACTTCTATGACAGAAAGAATATAAGCAGCAAGTAGTTAACAAATGATTAACAGAAAGCTTTCCCAATTTCTTTGGTATCATCAAAGAAACAAATGAATTTGAAATATTTTTTCCAACTGCCAATCCTCTGGGATACCTGTGCTTGTCTCTTCCACCTCTTGCTTTGGCTGGAGGTTTCCACCACTGGTTACTTCAAATGTAGTTCCATAGATGTGTCCGATGGCATTATCCAGGTAGAACCACTGCTTCTCAAAAATGATTTTTCTGAAATAACAGAACAGTGAGTAATACTTAAAGCATTATTTTTATTGTATCTGCAACTCTCTATACTTGAGTCTAAACTATAGCTTTATATATGACATGCCCATCTGTATCCCCAAAGAAAAGCAGGACAAGCAAAAAGAGTGAAATAAACCACAAAACCCACATTGAACTGAAACTGGTCAGGAAAAGAACAAAGAACTTAAACAAACCATATAGGAAGAACTTATTTTCTTTCAAGTTCAAAAGAATTTTCAAATGACAGATAAAATCAAGCTATAGCACCTGTCAACGTAATTTTTTAAAGTAAAAAATATATTAAATCCAAGCTGGGTCATGGAGAGTAGTAGCAAAAAGATGAGCATGGTCCTGTATTTTGTAAAGCTCCTCTGAAACAACATTTGCCAAAAGACTATGAAGAAAACAAGCAGCAATCCTTGAAATGTTTCATTAAAAGAAATTTAATTCACCATCCCTTTCATTTTGATTGCACCAAGGCAGGTTTGCATTTTATCTTCCTTCACTAAAAACAGGATCCACAAAGCCTTTAACTTTCAGGCTGACCAACAAATGCTGCCTTGCTATCCCTGGAAATGCCAATCTTGGCAAATGAAACAGAGCTATGCCACGCTCACATTCAAGTCAAAACTTGCCAATATGAGCTGTAATTATGCAAATTATACTCAGCACTAATACTGAACAAGATCATTTTCAAGCCAGTGCCGTTCAAGCATAGCACCTTGCAATCTCCATCCTACTGCATAACCTGGCCACATTACCAACACTGACTTACTGTCCTACAGAAGTGCCAGGGGAGAGTCCAGGCTGTGCCCAGCGGTTTCAGCCCTCCCAGACGGGCTGCAGGTGCTCTCCTGTTGTTATCTTGTTGTATTTCATATCTCTAGAGTCCCATACTGTTACAATCATATTTCTAAAGCCCATACCGTCTAGCTGATTTTCTACCATGCCGCTTTTCTCTGCTGTGCAGCTCCTCATGGTTTCACAGGGGCTCCTCCAGGGCTCTCAGCCCACCCCCTTTTATCCCAGCTACCTTCATGAGCCACAGCTGCTGCCCAACTTAGGACTTCGCAGCTGCAGCTCGTTTAGAATAACTGGGGCCCACTTACCCAATACATAGATTTTACAGGGACTCTCACTACACTCTCCTACTGTGCCAACTGGCCCGGGAGAACGAAACGGGAGCGCTTTGCTGGCACTAAAGCAGCAGCAGCCAGAGCGGAGCGCCGGCATCCCTCGCACAGCACACCGACGAACACGCTCGGGGCAATTACCGATCCCCAATAGCACCTCACAGACACCGGCAATTACCGATCCCAAATAGCACCTCACAGACACCGGCAATTACCGATCCCAAATAGCACCTCACAGACACCGGCAATGACCGATCCCCAACAGCCCCTCACAGGCACCGGCAATTACCGATCCCCATCAGCACCTCACAGACACCGCGGGCCGCGGCGGGCGCCCTGCTCGGCTCCGCTCCCACCGGCACCGCCAAACCTCCGGAATCTCCTCCAAAGTCCTATCAGCAATGTGGCCAGCACATCTTCCGGGTTTAAGGGGTTTTTTTGCCACAGGGACCGAGACAACATTAAAACCTTTCCCGCCGCCTGTCACACGACTCTCGTGGGGCCGCAATTCCTGCCTGGCGCTGCGGGACCGAGA